TGAACTTGTATATCAGGTTTAAGAGTTTTCTAGGGCTGGAGAGATGCCTCAGTGATAAGAGCACTGGCTGCTCTTGCAGAAGACCCAGGTTTGGTTCCCAGCACCCCCATGGTGGCTCACAACTGTCTGTAATTCCAGTTCCAGGGGATCCAGCATCTTCTTCGGACCTTCCTGGGCATTGCACGGCATAGGTGTACTTATATATGTAGGCAGTATAGTCATACACATAATATGACATAAAGTAAATATTTCTAAAAAGAATTTTCTGGGTATTTAGGGTCTTTTAAGTATAGGAGCATGTCATGTGCAAACAGGCTTTGACGTCTCTGCCCTTCTATTTGTCTCTTTAATTTCTTTCTCTTGTCTTTGCTCCAAGTCTTCCAGGACTGTATTGAATAAGATTGGTGACAGTGGTTTACCATAATACTGGTTTGCCATATCTTTATTGGTAGTTGATCAAAAAGGAATCTAAGTTGATGGGGACAGAGGCAGGAATTTGATTCAAGTTATGCAGAATACAAAAAGGTAAAGACTGAGGTGAAGGGTTAGGTTGCCTCAAGAAAGGAAACGAGGTGAGTAAATCTGGTGTTACTTCAGTCAGTTTTTCAGAGGTTTATGGCATCCTTTATACTGTCGGCTCCTTGTGAACTCATGCAAATCATTTCTCTCTGCCTTATGAGTAAATTTGGGCAGCTTACTCTTTTAGAACTGAAATTTTCTTTGTCTGTATCTAAAAGCAGAGAAGTATTGACATTACCCAAAGGTGAAACTATATTGTTGAATGGAGAATAGGAAAAATATTTTATTCAGTTAAAGACTCTATATCTACTAAAAACAATAATGGCTATAAGAAACCTGGTCTAGAGTAGCAACCCAAGGCTGTTGGGGTTTCGCTGCATGTAATTAGATAGAATGTGCTCTAAGTGGGTCAGTGAACTGTAATCCAACATGTACTTTTGAAGAACAGTGTCTGTGTGTTCTATCACATGATTGCTCTATGCTGAAGACTGCTCTATGCTAAGACAGTTACAGGAATTCTTCATCTACCCTCACTGAGCTTAGGAATTATTTTCTCTATCTAAGAAGCTGAAAATTTGAGGATTTAATGTGGTTTGAGTGGTGTTGCCTTAATCATGTACATAGGCAATTTAAAACATGTGAACACCAGGCTTTGGTCCATTACATCTTGTATGTGCCTTCCCAAGTTGACTGAAGCAGTATTTGTGACAGGCTGTAGTTGAGGATGCTTTTGACATGTAGAATGAAACCTTGTATTTGTTTCTTATGAACTCTGTTAGAGGTGGAGATTTGTAGGCTCTCATTTCTCGTTATTTACTGCAGATCCAAGTACCTATGGACTGACTCCTTGTGTTATGGTGGAATGGCTCCTGGATGTGTGGAATTGGTGATGGCTTTTGTAGTTTTCCTATCATGCCTTTCTTGGAAAACAAAGTAAGCTTTTCATGCTTGAGTAAACACATGAAAACACCAGGCTCTGAACAGTTGGCATAAGCTCAGCTATTCACATATGTGACTTTTCAATGGCTTTTGTGTTTGCTAATGTTTTAGTACACTAGTGTAAAGAAACTTCATACTTTTTCTTAAGAAATTAAGTTTCAAGTGTATGGTTAAGGAAATCCCCAGGATTAGCCTCCTTTTGAGCACTTTCTTCATTATCATATAGTAATTTGTAGAAGCCATTTGTTCAGATTCATAGTTTATTTTAAACATCTTTCCTTTTTATTTAAAGAAGTTTTTCATGCAGTATTCTTGTCACCTAGCATCAGTATGATGTGCTCCCACCCCACCCAATGTGCTCTTCCTATTAGCTCACATTAGTCCATGTGGTTTTTCACATAAAGTAACTGGAGGTTTGTTTTCATTGAAATGATGTTTGCATGGTAAATCTTTCAGGTCCTATTGTCTTTATAATAGTCATTTTTCATTATTTGTATAATAATGAATTATTTACAACACACTGTTTCCTCCTCCTCCTCCTCCTCCTCCTCCTTCTTCTTCTTCTTCTTAGTATTATTATTGTTATTATTTTAATGTATTACCTTTCCAAAGGTTGCTTTCCAAAAGGTAATGCCTTTGGAAATGCCTTCCTGCATCATTATATAAATACCATTCTTTTTACCAGTAAAAGGAAAAGACTACTAAGTGTTATCACCTCACAAAATTTCACATTTGGAACATCCTGTAATCTGGTTACAAGCTTTTTCCTTTGTAAACTCAACTTTTATTTTTAACAAAGTGCTATGTGCAAGTAGTTGACAGTTCTAATAAGCCAAGTTCTGTGACAGTGGAGGACAGTAGCCTTTTGCCTTCTTCCCTGCTCCTGGGGTCTTGAGAATCCCCAGCTCTGGCTATTTTATTGATAAGCCTCCATATTACTAATGACTCAGCTTGGTCATGTTCCACTTTATAGCTATCTATAGATTTCCTTTTGTGGAAATTGGAGCTTCAGTGCAGATAGTTTCTTGTTCTTCTAGTATTGACATAACACAGTTTCATCAGTATGGATGTGATAATGTTATGACTGTTAAGTATTCCTCATGACCAAATTTTATATTTATAGTATCATTATATCTTCTTATGCTATATATTCCCCGGGATTAACAATTCCATCCCCTTTTGCTTATTTTGTTTTCTCTATTCCTAAGTTGTCACTAAACAGTCTGAGAGTTATAAATCTCTCTTGACACTTCTTAACACACCAGATAATCCCTGAGATGTGTCTTCATTTTTCTTTTCCAGAATTTCTGGAGCCTGCACACTCTGCTCAGGGTAGGCAGGTGGCTGCTCAGCGCACAGAGGGGAAACTCTATATTTTCTGCTGCCAGTTCCTTTTGTCTTTCTGAATTTTGTTGATTCTGTTTTCCTGAATAGCATATAATTCTTTTAAAATTTAGATCTGCATTTTGATAAAGTCCTGGGAAAGTTTCAGGAAAAAATAAAATTTTCAAGATCATGCATGTGAACATTTTGTCATCATATTTGACTGGTAACATGGCAAGGTATAGTTTTTTGGGGAAAAAGTGATTTCTTGGAATTCTTAAGATGGTGCATCACTGACTTCCCACTTTCAGGTTTGCTGCTGAGCCCAGTGTCATTCTGATTTCAGACTCTTTGTTATGATTTTCTCCTTTATTTGTTTTTTCTTTAGAAGTTTGAAAATCCATATTTTTTAATAGTTCTGATGTTTTACAATATTCCTTAGTTGTGTTTTTTTTCATTCTGTGTTAGTTTCTTTTGTATTGTTATGATCAAAATATCCGACAGAATCAACTTAAGAGAAATTAACTTAGCCCATGGCTTCCATCGACCATTGTGCGGAAGGCGTGGTGGGAGCAGGTCATAGTGGTAGTTTGGGTACAAGGCAGGGGCTGTTCACATCACGGTGGACCAGCATGTAGAGAAGTGGGGCAAAGCCTGGAGCTCATCTATGCCAGCAAGCGAACCAGGCTTCTACCTACTAATCCTTCCACAGGCCCCTCCCTGTACCAGCACCAGCTGGGGAACAAGAGTTCAAATCCCGAGCCTGTGTTTTAGATCCAAACACATTCACTTTATTGTCGAGATGGTATACCTTATTGAACTAGAAAGCCATGTTCTGCACTTGCCTATGTTTTCTGTCCTTGAACTACGTACTACATGGACTTTACTTTTCCTGTCTTTTTTTCCCTCCCATTCTCCTATCTCATTCTTCTGAGATTATTTACTTATCTTGGATTCTTCTGTAGATGCTACAGGAGTTTTTAATTTCCAAGTTTATTTCTAATTTTTTAATTTTTTCTTTTTATGTTATTATATTGCTTCATTTTGAATTTTCTGAGAATGATAAACTTTCTGATTGGTGCTTTCTTTGGTTCCCATAATGTGCACCCGTGCATGCATATGGTGCAGTCCTGCATTTGCACATGTGACTACATGTGTGTGCAGTGCGCCATGTGTGTTTGCACGCTCTCCTTCTTGCACATTGCAGGATTTTGTCAGGTGTCCAGAAAATCTAGGCTTTGGCCAAATTAGAGATCTGTGCTTTGGGGAAGTGGATGAGGTCGACATGCGTAGGAACTCCATGTGCATGGGTAGGGTTCTCACCTCAGCATCTCTCTGGGACACTTGGTGTCTGTAAGTCATGCCCATGCCAGGATGCTGGTTGCTTCCAGATGAGAGAGTGTGGTCTCACTGATAGCCTTTGGCTGGGTCCCCCGGCTTTGTCAGGGCTTCCTAACTCCAGCCCTCAAAACCCTTCTGCTTGCACTTAACTCTTCTTGCCTGGTTATGAAGAGAACAGAAGATCAGTTCTTTAACTGTTTTATTTTTTAAGCTTTAAGCATTTGTTGCATATCTACTTTGCTCCTTGCTTTTCATGTCAGTGGTATTCATAGGCTTATTCCACATGTTTATATTTATGTCCGTCTCTTTTTAAACATTTAGTGTTGTTTTTAGACTATGCTTCTAAAGGGTGTAGGAGAAAATAGAAGATGTCGTGGTCAGTGGAGACATTCAATGCAGACTTTTGATTCTTGGTCAGAACTGTTTTTCCATTTGGTGCACACATTTCTGGGATATTGCATTCATAGTGAATATGTTAAATTTTTACCTATATATAGTTTCCCTTAAGGTTCTTTAAAAATACATTATACTTATTTTTATGGATGTTAATTTGTAGCTTTAACATCACTTTCTATAAATAGATGATGTGACAATCTACTGGAAACAAATAGAGACTTAGTCTCATGAAGTTGCTTATTACTTTTCCAAACATTTTTATTTTTAAATAGTTATAGATAGGAATTTGCAAAAATTGTATGTAGAGGTCCTTTGTACCTAGTTTATGCCGATAGTAACATCTTCACATGACCACAGTATACTCCCCAAACCAGGGAACAGACACTGGTGTGCTCTTCATTAGTTTTTGAAATTTTCTGTTACCTCAAAGGACTATGCTACAGATATACACGAAACCGATGTAAAACTATTTTCTCTTTCAGCAATTTTTCCAGCTAGTCAAATTACGAAAACTTGGACTTAGTGATAATGAAATTCAGCGGCTCCCGCCAGAAATAGCTAACTTCATGCAGCTGGTGGAACTTGATGTGTCTCGAAATGGTAAGAAAACAATCCCACTTGGATCATCCATTTGTCTCTTTTGATGTGGGGACATTAATAAATACAATTGTAGAAAGTTATGGGGAATGCCTTCTCTGGTCATTGGAAAACTATGTGTGCATTTTTTGTGGAAATTAATGAGGTTTTAATTTAATTAATATTTTGAGACAGGGTCTTACTATGTAGCTCAAACTGGCTTTGAACTTTTAATTCTCCTGCCTCAACCTTCCACATTCTAGGATTCCAGGCATGTATGTTAAATGACTTGGCTAATAACATTTCAATAGTTCAGTCAACTTTCAGATATTTGCTAACAGTATTTTTATAACATAAGTTTTAGATAACAACTTTTTAATAGGTTTGATTTGGAGAAAATGGGGTCCCTTTTAGGGTTCTTAGTCTCATCCATAACAGAATTTAAGAATGGACCCAAATAGAAGCTTTAGGACAATTTTACTAGAATTTGAAGAAGAACCCTCAGGGCAAGCAGCCACCCTGAGGAGGAGAATGGAGGAGCATGGAGGGAGAAGGAGAAGACCACAAAGCCATGCCTGTTAGAGCCAGCATGGAGGTCAGACACATGGAGGGGTGTTTTAAAGAAAGAGTAACAAAGCCCACAGTGTTGGCAACCAACATGTTACAGAAAGCGTGATTAGAAAAGAGATACTAGAAAAGGAGCTATTACACTTGCTTTTATGAATTCTTCAGAGAAGTGGGGAGACTTACAGAAAACCACGTGTCTCTGGCCCACTCCATAAGCACTGTACTAGGGGGCAGGGATTCCAGGCAGGAAAAATTCATCATCTCATTAATAAGCTCAGTATTCTGCCTAACTCTTTACCAGGACATAAGGTGAATCTGCCACCAGGTTACAGACCAGACAAAACTGGAAAGTTAAGGCTCCACCCAGGCCAGACAGAGATGCTTATTGAGCAGATTTCTCTTAAGGGGCTTTCTGCTACTAGTCTCAGTCCTAGAATAGAGCTCTAGAGACTCTATTCTGACTACAGACTATAAAACATAGTTTGCTCTGTTTGTTTTGGTTAGGGTTAGTTAGTTTTGTGAGACAAGGTCTTGCTATGTAGCATTATCTGGCCTGGTGCTCATTATGTAACACAAGCTGGCCTTGAACTTAAGAAGTCCTCCTGCCTCAGCCTCTCAGGTACTGAGATTACAGGTATATATTACCATGCCCAGCACTCACTCACTGTACGGAATATGACATTGAGAGTTGGAGGCAATGCTTGCTTGGATGCTGAGGGTAGGGAAGGATGCCTCAGGGCAGGCCTGGTTTCTCCTGCTCTGGCGTAGTCTGCTTGCCCTAGAGCAGACTTACTTGGAGCTCAGGTGTCTTCTGTCATTTTGATTTATTTCTAATTAGGATGGTAGTGGTTCTGCTCTTTTGAATTTATGTGGTTTATTTGTGAGTTTATTTTGATTTGGCATTTTATATGATCTTTCCCTCTTTAGTGAATGTTCAACAAGGTATTTATATCCAAACATTTTTCATTTGTAAATAGGAGTGGGTTGGAATCCTGTATTCTGTCCCCCTCACACCACTTCTTACTTCATGAGTGGTGGGTCTCCTGGTGTGGTTGCTCTAGAGATGAGATTCAGCTCTAGAAGGGCCCTGGGAATTCCCTTAGGACTTTTCCCTTTCTCTTGAATCACACATCCCTTGTGTTTTATTCTCTGCACAAATCTGTAAGTTGTACTCAGAAGCCATCAGTCTAGGCACTGACTTCTTCAGTGGCTCATTGCTTTAACACAGCAGTTAACAGCGGTTAAATTGCCATCATCTATCTGCAAATTGGGAATTGTCTTTTGGCTAAGCTATGTGTCATTGACATAGTGTGTGCTTTTATATCATGAAAATGATTTCTTACTTTGAAGGTATTGGGGAAAAGTCTTGTTTTAGAATGGTTTATTCATTACAGAACCAAAGATGAGCCCAGATAATGTGGATTTTATTTTAAGGATTGGAGCAGAATTCAAGTTCCAGCAACTCGTCTGCTGCACTTGGGGTTCGCAGCCTCTGACTTGCTGCTTCTGTTGTGGGTGCAGTGTCCCTCCACGTCCTGACCTGCTCTCTTGGAACTGGCTTGTGGTGGTCCTTCCAGATCAGCCTTTTGTGGTCTGTGTTACCTTTGGGCTTCTGTCCCTGAGGCAGCATCTGCTTGTCAGTAACACATTGCTAAGGGAGGAGTTGTGCCCCCACTGTACTATTTTATGTGTAGCATAAAACATAAAGTACAGGCCACTGGTCCTGCTAAAGACGGCTGCTCTGAGGAGGCGAGGAAGACCCCTGAGTGCCCTGGCCTTCCCACTCATTGTGGTGGTGAGCAGCATTTCATATACTGGATTTGGAGCTGGGTCTGGTGTGTCCTGGTCAGAAGCACCTCTAAGACTGTCCTACAGAGTACCTGTCCGTGGGATAAAAAGAACAACTTTGAAATTGGTATTAGGAAGGAAAAACACTTAAATCCTTAAGAAAGAGGAGCAGGCTAGCAGTCATGTAATGACCTGCACTGGGAAGCCTGGGAAGTTGGCAGTGGCTGGTTGCCGCTGGGCTCCTTCCTTTTGAACCTGAAGGAAGAAGGTCTTCGTGCCTCTTCCTACTGCACGTTGTAAGCTTCCTCACTTTGCTGAAAGAAGCTCTGCTTGCTGCATTGGTGTCAGGACATAAACACGTTTCCTGTCCCTGGGGTACTTACCTTTTTCCTTTAAACCGCTATTTCCAACCTTGCTTTCTACAAGTGTTGGAATTTCGTGAAGGATCCAAGTTTTTCATGTCTCATGAGGCTGTTGCAGAAAGGCTGGTGGGGCTTTAATGTCCTTTGCTACTGACAGAGCTTTGCCTTGACTCAGTCACATGCTGGGAGGTGTGGACGTGTTTGTGTGTATGTTGAGAGAGCAGTATGGAACATGGATGGGTTCAGGGCTTTCTTTGTGGCTGTAAGAACCGTAACAGACAGAGCAGAACAAAGTTACCATTGCTGTAACCACCAGGACCAGGGGGCTCGGGCCATTTCCAGGTCAGACAAATCTGCCCGTGCTTCCTTTTCCTTTATTGTTTTATTTATTTAATTTTTGTGCATAAAAATACATCAACATGAATTTCCAAGACAACTGGGTAGATAAATCAAAGTCATGAAGCCAGCAGCCTGAGAGGCAGTATGGGAAGAGGCAGTGTGAAACCCTGCTTTGTACCTTGTCAGACATTTGCAGAGATCTGGGGCTGGGGCTGAAGGCCTGTGCAGTCTCTGGTGTTGTGTTGCAGTAATTAAAGCTGCCTGCTGCAGACAGGAGCTGATTGTCTGGGTTCCCTGCTAACCTCTGGGCTGTAGAAGGCTGTCACTGGGGCTGGCCACTTCTTAACAGGACTTTCATTGGTGTCTTCAGTTCCTGAGTTTTTAAAAAGCAGTGCTTCAACCATGGAGGAGGAAGGCAGGGTGTTGATGTCACATCACCTAAGACCATTGGTTTCTTGCTTGTTAAACTTGAACATGTAGTGGATGACTTGAGAGTTTGCATTAAATCAGAGATTCTGAAGTCGTAGGTCTGAGTGGGTCATGGGTTAGGGTCAGGGTTCTGCCTTGGTTCCCAGGGGATGCTAACCTAGCTGGTCCACCAGACACACAGAATAGCCTAGAAGTCAGTGCTTGGAGACTTGCTGCAGACTTCTCTCAGCAGCTCATGTGACTTACAAGCCGGACATCTCCCTGCCTCAGAGAGCCTTGCACCTCCCTTGCGTAAGGTAGGGAAATCTTCAGGATATTCCTGGTTCAAGTGCAATATGCTAGAGCTGCCTTAAGCGTGTTTGGATTCTGTTTCCTTGCTTAAGTGAAAGACAAAAGGGAAGTTTTGTGCTTTTCTCTAAGAAAATGTGTTATTGAGAAATTTTCGTCAGGCTGCTTACTGGGCCAAGCAGAACTGTGCAGATGTCCGCTCATTTTTGTGCTTTTGTTTTCTGATATTTGAGGTACAAAGTCAAGGGAGATATGGGTTGTGTAGAGAAGAGAGACCAGGAGGAGGGCAGTGTTTGTGTTTTCTAGGTTGTGAGGGCTTTTATTGATGATGGAGTAGAGGCTGCTCCCAGCAGGACTGCCTGAGGACTGGCTGAGGACCCCGGGCTGGAGGCCTGGTCTGCCGTCAGTGCTAGGTCAGCTTTGGGTTGGCTCTTAACCCTGCTAGGCTGTGTTAGGTGAAGGAGTGGAATGAGGTGCTGCTTCTTGTGTGAAGCTAGTGAGTTTCCTATTAAATAAGTGGTGATCAAAATGTATTGAGAGAAAAAGAAACTAGGTGTTTTCCTTGAACACAGATTAAAAGATGACTAGAATATAGCATATGAAATTGATATCAGACTGTATTGTTAAAATTTTATCTGCAGAACTTACAGACTTATTAAAATTCAGGTGTGAGGTCGTTTTCTGAGGTGAAATGCGCTTGGCTCTGTTCCGGGATTTCATGTCTGCTTCCTGTGCTCACTGATTCTTAGCTGTTCTAGGAAAATGGCCTCTGGCTCTGTGAGAAAGGTTATTTCCCATAGTAGGCTCTTAGTGTAGGGTCTTGCTGTCCAAGGATCTAGGGCAGACTTTCTTAATGCCTCACGAATCCTATCCCAAGGTTAGTAAATTGAGATTTGTAATCCATGCTGTGATCTGACTTACGTCCCAGCACTGTGCCATTATCCCTTTAGTTTAGTTTTCCCCAAAGTGTAAGGCACATGCCACTGGCACTGCAGAGACCATTTTTAGTGGTCCTGAAGAACTGTAATTTTTAATATTGCATCATGGTGAGAACATCATCTGTTTCAGTTTTGTGCATGGGTTGCTGTCTGTAAACCTTCTAATAATGTATCTAATTTATATAACATGTTGGGTTTCTGGTGGTTAAAAAAATAGCTTTGTATTTGTGTTAATGATTTAAAACAATTTGCTTCTTTAGAAAACAAATATTATTAAAAATTTAAAAAGCAGTTTAAAAGAATGAACCAAATA